CGAGTACTCTTCGAGTCAAAAATTTCTTGATTCGACTTTGACTCGAGTTAACTTTTCTGACTCGAGTCCAAACTCTATACAAGATTCATCTATTTTTCTCAACCTCAAAATGAATGAGCAATCTATTGCTCTTATTAAAAATAGTATAGGAAATTCGTTACATGAATAAAAAAAAGTACGATCAGAATTTACTGGTAATTCTAACATATTCCTTCTTTTGCATAAAAACAAAAAAAAAGACATATTTATATGTGGTAAAATTAGCCGCTTTCCGGGCTATCCAACTTAATTTACTTTGTAGAATTTGTAAAAGCGGTAATGATGGAGAATAACCTCTGAAGTTTGATTATAGAGATCAAATTACCATATATATTACTTCATTTTACGTTGCCTATGATTTTAGAATAATTATTTTTTCTATCCATTTTGAATGATTAGAAGCTCTAATTCAGTTCTTCGGTTTTGCGTTTAAGAGTATTGAACTTAGAGGTTGGAACCAGCCAAAAATTCTTTAACCGGTTAAAATTAACTTAAGCCAGTACTATAAATTTGGCTGGAGTTAGACAATATCTTTGCAATCATAAAATCTTAATCGGTTCCAGCCGTTGAACTTGTTTTCTAATTGCAGAGAATGGATTTGCTAATAATATATTAATTAGATTAATTAATTTGTTAAATAATCAAAAGATTCTTCAAAGTGTTTGATTCTATTTAACAAATATTTAGTTTGATATCATCAGTTTTTTAAGAATCTGCTGCCCATGTTTTCGTTTTCGGTTGGGTTAAACTTTTTGTTGGGTACTTCCTATATTTGACAAGTAAAGAAAGATATTAAATTACATCAAGGAAAATGTTCAGGAAGCTGGAGATTTTGTCGTACCGATTCTTACCTGCTCTTCGGTAGGTTAAGATCTTCACTGGATATGATCTGTGAAGTAAAAAAAAATAAGTTAAATTACATAATATATGGTAAAAAATGAAAAAATACAATGTAATTAAATCTTACAAATCAATATAATTGACTTTATTTATTAACCAGTAATTAGTAGATTGGATGACCATCCAATCGAGCAGTCACTTGGGAGAGAGACCGGGTTCAATTCCTGGGTGAGTTGGACGATATGGATACAACAGCCACTTACCTTTCTGAGTTCTATAATGGATGTTTAAATCCTCAACCTTCCCGATCATGTGTTAAATACTCTGATACCGGGTAAAGGTCATAGCGATTCTGATTGGTGTTGGTAAAAATGGGGAAATAATCGACTAAAAGTACATGTGGCTGAAAGTGATCCCTCTATCCAAATTTGACAGTGGTTCTAAGGTCTAGTGACCCTGGAGGTTATGCTTCTGGAGGTCGCTCTGGGTGGCAATCCTTGGACCAGTATTATCGATGAGATTATGGTTGGATCATATGAGTCTGCCACGATTTTCCCAATTAACGGTCAAGCAATATAAGGTTCACATGACTCGTGCGTGTCGTTCCTTGCCGCTAAGGCCAACTGGTGTATCAGATACTGCATAAAGAAAAAAAAAATAATTGACTATATTTATTAAATTGAACTGCAATGATTCTTTAAATTTGATTGGTCATTGTCCATCAAATATCTACCCTCCATTTGTCTAAAAAAAAAACACAAGTCGTGATGATGTTTGAAACGGACGTGTGCAAATCTATAATCAATTCACATTTATTAACAATAGATTAAAATTATCACCGCTCAATAAAATTTATTTATATCAAATATAATTACCCAAATTTTTCCTTTTCTCAATATGCACAAATGGAAGGTCGGTAATACTTCGGACCCACGTCTGCAATTCAATAAAGGTTATACCTTGGATTACACCTTTAAGCAAACGGAAAATTCTGCTTTGGCACAGCAGTTATGTCCAGTGATGTGCATTTGGAAGATTGGAAGCACTTTTGGAGGATTGGAAGCATAAAATACACATCACTGGTTATGTCTAGTAACTGTATAAAACAACAATTGAGGTTAGAAATAGAGTTTCAAAGATCAATAAAAAGGAATGAGAGTAGAAATGTAAAAATGAAAAGAGAGAGAAAATTTCCATGAAATTTTGATTTTTCAAGAAATGAAAGACTTTCACGAAGGAAGCGTACAAGACACTTCCACGAAGGAGGAGAAGGAGACATTTCACTTTCACTCTCATTTTGAAAGAAAAGAAGAAACTCTACCATTTTCCATGTTGCTCAATAAGAATTTTTCGTTTACTAATTTTTTTTTGTTAAAGGAGAAAAAGAATTTTTATCGTTAAAAGAAGAAAAAAATTTTTTTTTACGTTACTGGAAGAAAAGATTTCTTTTTTCATTACTAGAAGAAAAATATATATATATATTTTTTTTATTGTTACTGGAGAAAAAGATTACTTTTTTGACGTTAAAGGAAGAAAATGATTTGTTTATCTTTAAGGATACAGTATTTATGTCATATTCACATACATTTTGAGTCAAAGTAATCAAATTTTTACATGAATGAATTTGGCGCAGTAACAATTTTATATGGGTTTCCTATGCTCGGCTCGTAATTATCAGCAATTTTCAATTTAACGGTAAACTAGGAACGATATAAAATCTTTTAGATCAAACACTTAAAGTTATGGCAATTTTCAATCCGTTATTAAAATAAAGTGACGTATCCATTTTCATATAATAAAATAAAAAAGAGAACCAACCAATAAAAATGAATTATCACATTAATTAAGTTATAAAAAATTACATTAAAATCATTTCATTTATGGAAATATTACAACGATAGTAATTGATGACTGAATGATATAGCTTTGTTTATTAGATGTAACTAACAATACCATTAAATCCTGATTCGATACAAATAAATTCGTTCGAACATCCGGTTCATTCGCTTTATCCGGAGTTAATAAATCCGGTTCATTTTCTTCCAGAAATAAGAAATCTGGTCCAATTGCATCATCCGTATATAATAAATCTTAATTAATTGATTCATTTAGATTCAATGCTAAGTCCTAGATTTTTGTGTGCTTTTGAGTATATCAGTTGCTGCATTTACTGAGTAACAATTACATTAATCATAAACCCATTTTAGACATGGTCATTTTTAAATGTTTCAAGCATTGAAAAATGTCAACGGATATTATTACTTATAAATTTCAAGACAATATTAAGAACTTAATTTGAAAAAAAAGTAAAATGACTTAGTAATTTACAAAACATTTTTGTTGAACTATTATAACGATTTCTCAAGACTTTTTTTCGACTTGTTCATTTTTCACTGTTCGTTAATTCACAGCTTTATAAGCAAATTCCCAAAATTAACTATGTTGAGCTTAATCAAGTTTGACTCGAAAATTTTTTAACTGTATTGAGTCCCAAAGATTCGGACGAAACGTGATTATTTTTGAACAAGGTTTAGAATTCAGGATGAATGATTTATTCTTTTACATTGAGTATTATGATATTTATATACTAATTTAAGAAAATAAAGTACTTTTTTACGTGGATAACTCTTCAGCAAAACTTTCAATCAAATTATACACCTACGCCAATAATTTTTTAATTGCTAATTGAAAATACCAGAAGCCAAAGTTGCGTTCCCATTTCTAAAGAAATTGAATCTTATAAAAGATAATTATAGGTTTGAAATGGCAAATAATTTAAAAATTAAAAAAAAATTCTTCTGAAATTTTGATTGAATACTTTATTGTAGTATTGTGCTACCAATGGATGTAAATACTGTTTATATAAATGGTTTGTGCTTTATTATTTTTTAAAAGAAAAAAGTAAAACTGAAATTAATAAATTTTTCTTTTCATAAATATGGAATTGAAGAATTGGCTTATAAAACTAAATAAAGTATGCAAAGAAAAATAATTTTTGGCTTTCATATATATTGGCGAGTAAGATTTTTGATAAAATTCCTGAATTATACAATAACAGGGTACATTTGAAGGGAATTTAAAACATTCTTACATGTAAAATCTAAAGTAATCTATCGTGTCTCAAAAATTGTATAGATACGAGATCTTTTACATATTAATATCAAATATCTTTTCACGATTCAGAAACTGAATATGAAAATAGGCTTGAAATTAAATTATTCCTGATGTTACGATATTTTTATCATGTAAAAAAAAATACATTATTTATAAAAGAAATGCTTGTATAATTAATAAGTAAATGCTTGAACAATAAAGTTAAATTGATTGTAAAAGTAATAATTTTTAGTTAAATTTTATCAAGGTGTTAGAAGTTGTAGGATAGTTGTTTGATTATTGATTTTTTAAATATGAAGGGTAGATATACTTTAAGGAATCGGGTTTATTTGGTAAGCAAGTTATTTGAGTTTGTGAACAGTCAAGATAAGTTAAAGAGTATGGTAATGTTGGTAAGTTTGTTGTTTTAGTATTATAGCAACAGAGTTCCGTTAAGGAGTTAGGTAATGTTGGTAAGCTTGTTATTTGAGTTTCATGGCAAAAGAGTTTCTTTAAGGAGTTAAGTAATGTTGGTAAGCTAGTTATTGAAGTTTTATAGCAGCGGAGTTCTGTTAAGGAGTTGGGTAATGTTGGTAAGCTTGTTATTTGAGTTTCATGGCAAAAGAGTTTCTTTAAGGAGTTTGGTAATGTTGGTAAGCTAGTTATTGAAGTTTTATAGCAACGGAGTTCTGTTAAGGAGTTGGGTAATGTTGGTAAGCTTGTTATTTGAGTTCCATTGCAATACAGTTTCGTTAAGGAGTTAGGTAATGTTGGTAAGCTTGTCATTTCAGTTCCATTGCAATCGAGTTTTGTCAACTTTCGATATCTTTGCAAACCGCCAAAGGTGTTCAATATGTCATCCTTATTAGCAACTGTAATGGTTATACTTTCAATAGTATCATCATAAATAATCAATTCAAGATTTCTGATTCTCTTTTCTAATTCATTAATAATTTCTTGCTTTTTTTTGGACACTTCTTCTCGTTCTCTAATCTTTTCTTCTAAATTATTAATAATTTCTTGCTTGGCTTTGGTTTCTTCTCGTTCTCCAAGTTTTTCTTCAAAATATTTGAATTGTGAACGTAACCCTTCGTTACTTTGCTCTAATTCCTTAATTCTCGTTTCCAAGTCCCTTAACGTTTTTTCAAAATTGTTCCTTAAAACCATTTTTTTGTCTGAATTTTTTTTTTAATTTAAATTGTTTGAAAGACAGTAGAGAATGAGTTTTTTTGCTCAGCCCTCGGTTTAAATTTTTTCCAACGGTAATTTTATCCATATATAGTCGTGTGACTTAAAAAGGACTTAACCGCTTCTTGTCTTACCTAAAAAGTTAATTGCTTTCTGAAAGTCAAAAATTAAATTATTTTATTATAATGCGGCAACAGGATCTTCGTCTCAGCTCCAAAAAATAAAAAATAAAAAAAAAAATTCGAGTCATAATCAAACTTAAATTCGCAACGAACTTATTTTTCTTGAGAGAAATACTTACAAAAATTCTACATAACTTAAATTATGAACTAATAGATACAATGGAGTGAATTTTTACGAAAAAAAGCGTAGATCATTACAATCAAAAACAATCAAAAATAATGGTCTTGAAGATACTGTATATCACTTCGGTCGAGAGGCGTTAATAATTTTCTTATGATATAATCATTTCTATCTATTTATTGCTGTGTAAAAAGTGTATTGAATAAATTGGCAAGAATTTACTGCGCCTTATTAGAGACGGATTTAACATTTTGATTACCTTTACGATGATTACGTTCATTCCTTTCTAATTGCACCTTTTATTCTCAAAAAAAAAAAATTATATTCCTTCTAAATCCACGAAAAGTAAACAGAAATCCTTGTATCTCTTGATGATATATTTTCAAGGTTTTGTAGTCCCAATGCGTTTGTCTGAAATAATATCCTAATTGCGCATTTCGATTTGGGATATACGAAATAATCATTTAAGTTATTAACGCATTCATTTATTTTTTCTTTACTTTTAATTGTGTCCTGTCTCAATACTTTTCTATAATTAATAACTCTAGAGTTATTTAGATAAGTCCAATGTTTTAGTTTTTTATTTGATGTTTTGACATATAAAAATACACGTTGCCAATCGCAGACTTTATAACTGCGCCACACACACCGTTCAAGTCTTTGAAGATACTTACAATTTGATTGAGATTATGTGAATCGTATTTTTAATTTAGCAAGCAGTTGCATGACAAATGTTTTGTTACGGAAAGCTTATAAATTGTAGTTTTCAGGGACAAATTTTTATTTCAACGTAGAAATTCTGAAATCAGACGACATTGCCGCCAATTTTTTTTTCCTGAATTCAGGCATTTCGATAAAAAAAAAAAAGCATATATTAAATTAAAAAGAACGTTATTAGAACAAGCAAGTATTTTCTAAATAAATACTGCATAATTCACATTCTACGCAGAAAAAAAAGAATTCATCCAAAAATTTTTTTATAAAAAAAAAAAACCGTCAAACCATATAATTAAATGAGAAAATAGTTGGCATTGCGTGAAGCTCGTATCACCATTTTAAAGTTACGGATTTCTATATTTATTTATCATAAGATTTATTTCATAAATTTGTCATTATCTATAATAATTGTTTTATGAATGGTATTATACTTACAACGTAAGGTTGTTTAGTTTATTAAATATTCTTAAAAGTTATAATAAAATGAAACTTAATATACTGTATGCAGGAAAAGTATAAAATTTATATATTTATCCAGTCTCGCGATAAGTAATTTCTACAAAAAAGTATTCTTTCGGAAATTCATTACGGGACGGGCGAATTTATAAATTACGTGCTAAAAATTTAAATAATATAGAATTCACAACAAAAACCGCCAAATTGAAATTAGAGTATCAATATATATTTTTCTTGAATAAATATTGTTCTATTCATTTTTTAAAAAAAACGCCCAAAATTATTTGAATGTGACGGGAAGTTAAATCGACCAATTAAAAATTTTTTTGATTGGTTTACAAATATCTTAATTTGATTTTTTTTGACCCGGTCCGGAGCCAGACTTTTAATATTTGTAAAAATGGTTTGTAACCCAGGCAAACTAAGAATATGCTGTCTAGAATCGGTTCTAGAACCGATTCTAAGTCGCTCTTTTTGAAGCACGTCTGAAACCTGTGACAGATTACACCGATTATATGGTTTAATTTATGTGGAGCGCATTTTTGCAAGTCAAATTTTAAAATCGAAACGCTCAAAGTAAACTTTGCAGAGCTAACAAAATACTCACATATAGAATTTTAAAGTTCAAGTGAAGTTTAGCAAGTTATAATTCGAAAAGAAAAAACTTTGTAGAAAATTGTCTGTGGCGCATGCGATGATTGTTTTATTAATTACAAATATCTCCACAATACTTATTTTTATTATAAATTTTAACAATGTCTAATAATTATAAAGGTAAGAGTGTAATAAAGAAACAAAAAATATATTACTAAACAATAAAAACGAATAAAAGATATGAAGCTTCGTTTGAATAAAATAAGTTAATTTGACGGTTTGATATCATTCTAAATCTTTTTTTTCACGAATTTGCATTAGAGCCAGTTTCGGATGCTAAAAAAGCTTCCTCACTAGAAGGTAATACATGTCGTTAATTATACTTATTTTTGTTTGCTAAAAATTAAATTTTTATCAAATTCGAATATAGATTCAGTTTCAGATACTCCTTTATCAAAAGAATTAATTGGTAATAAACTTTATTATTTATCTATTATTTATTTATATGATTATTTAATAATTAATATTTTTTTTTTAAAAAAAAAAAAAAATAATGATGGAAATATTTAGATTGTAAACCATTTAAATTAAATTTAATTAAACTGCTATTCAAAAATATTTAATAATCTATAATACTATAGGGAGTAAGTTATTTATTTTTATGTTTAATTTAAACTTAATTTATTATATAAAATTTTTAATGATAATTAATGATATTTTTGTTGGTAAATTATTTATACTTATAATTTTTATTAATATTTATTATTAATAAAATTTATAATAAAATAAAATATTAATAATTTAGTTGGTAAATTATTTTTATTAATTCAATTAATTATATTTATAAAAAATATTAATATTCATATTACAGAAAGTAAATATTTATAATTTAAAGTCAACAAAATTTTTTATTTAAAATAATTAATAATATAATAATAATAAGTTATTTTTATTAATTATCAGTATATAATTATACTTGTTACTATAATTTAAAGCCAACTAAATTTTATATTTAAAAAATAAATTTTATTAGTTTGTTAATTTTTTTATTGATTATCTGTATTTAATTATACTTATTACTGTAATTTAAAGTAAACTAAAATTTTTATTTAAATAAATTTTATTAATTTGTAAGTTATTTTTATTGATTCAATTATATACTTATTATTATAATTTAAAGTAACAAATATTTTTTTTAAAAAAATAAATTTTATAAGGATGTAAGTTATTTTTATTGATTATCAGTATTTAATTATACTTTTTACTGTAATTTAAAATCAACTAAATATATTATTTAAAAAAATTTTATTAGAAAATAAGTTACTTTTTATTTTATTAATAAATATATATCAAATTAATAATAATAATATTATTATTATATAATTTTAAATATATTAAATATCTTACTTAATAAAGGAGAATTTAGTATTATATATAAAGCAACTTAGATACAGTCAAAATTTAATATAATTAAATTAGCATTTGAGCTAATCAGACTTTTGTTATAAGAAAATTTGTTATCACTATAATGAATTATTCAGTATATATGTTGCGTTCTAAGTTAATGATCTGCCCAAATACAAATTTTAATTTTGGTAATTCAATTTGAATTTTAAATTTAAACAATGTGATTTTGCTATCTCAATTTAAAATTAGAGCAAATTGAAAATTAAAACATACAGTAATCAAAGTTGACTATTGCTCCAATTTAAAATTAGAACAAATTAGAAACTAAAGCATATGGTATCTTAAGTTGATAATTACCTTAATTTATAATTAAAATAAATTGAAAATTGAGATATGAGATGCCTTAAGTTAACTATTGTACTAATTTAAAATTGAGACAAATTAAAAACTAGGAATATAAGATGCCTTAAGTTGACTATTGTCTCAATTTAAAATTAAAAACTAAAAATGCAGTATCCTAAGTTAGCTATTGCTCTAATTTTAAATTGTGACAAATTGAAAACTGAGAACGTAGTATCTAAAATTAGCTATTGCTTTAATTTAAAATTAGGATAAATTAGAAATTGAGAACATGATACCTATTACCTCAATTTAAAATTGAGGCAAATTGAAAATTAGGATTGTGATACTCCAAGTTGACTATTGCAATAATTTTTAAATTAAGGCAAATTGGAATCTGAAAATGCAGTATTCCAAATTGATAATTGCCTAATTTAAAATTAGAGTAAATTTGAAATTGAACTATTATCTCTAACAAAAAAAGCCATAATTTATTATCTTTTCTAGTATTACTACTATGTTTTTCACCCTATATAATCATAAAAATATTTATTATCCTGCATTATATCTTTTGTAATTTTCATTTTTATAAGTATTCTGGAAACTTAGAATTTTTTTAGATGTAAAATAATATTTGTTACAATTTATTCATCATATAGTTAATTTCTTAATACCAATATACTGGCCAAAAGTCATGTGAGGTAAAAAACTTATTAGTAATACTGGAGTAGCTCAATAGATTATCAAGATATGTAATTTGTTATAATTAAGTTCAGGTATTAAATTTGAGATATTCCAGTTTGAAATTTAAATTTAAACCACCTGAAATTAAAATTTTAGTTTTTAGGCAAAATGAATCTGTCCTAATTTAAAATTAAAGCAGATTGCAACTTAGGATATAACATATATAATGAATAATTTATTATAATAATAATGTTATCTAATTGGACTAATCAGAATTGTCTGTAACGATTTTTATTGTTTAATTTTTTTTTAACCATTAGTATTTATTATTTTTATTTTATTTTATTTTTTTTTTTAATTAATTATTTTAATTTTTTTTAATTTTATTTTTTATGTTTTATTTTTTTTAGTTTATATTGCAATTTTTTATTTTTTTAATTGATAATTAATATTTTTTTTTTATTTTTGTTTTTATTTTA